TGTTGCAAAAAAAAAAAATATAAAAAAAAATAAATATATATATATATATATATATATATATATATATATATATATATATGTAAGGATTTTTTGTGTTTTTCAAGTTTTATTTTGCAACAAAAATAACATTTATTTAAAAAAATTTGTTGCAAAATTTAACTTGAAACATTAAAACAACTAAAAAAGTAAAAATTAAAATAGTAAAGGTTAGTTTAAAAAAAACAAGTTTTATATTGCAACAAACAATATTTATTTAAAAAATGGTAAAATAGAAATTTATATTAAAAAAAATATTAAAAAGTAAAAAAAAAAATGGAATACATTTGAAACATGAAATACATATAAATGCATATGAAATACAACGTTTTTTCAGGTTTTTCTGTATTTTTTTGTAACAAAAACATTTCAACAAATTGTTGCAAAATAAAACTTTAAAAAATACTATGTAAAAACAAACTTAAAAATGCAACATGACACTGGTAAATTTGTATTAAACGTATTTTTGAAAAAATATTAATATTACCTTTTGGCAGTTTTGTCATGCATCTTTGCCCTTTGTTTCTATTTAAGTTTACCGATGGCATTTTGTGTGCAGTGCTCAATCAGTCCTTTAAAATGAAGCTCCTGGCCCTGACCGCTCCTGTGTTTGACCTGCCGCTATCTGGAGCTGAAATCAGACATCTTGTCCACGCTGTGAATGGATCTCCCTTTAGGACCCTGCTGTGAATGTGAGCTGATGGCTCTTGTGAAGGCCATTTACAGCCCGTGTAAGGGTGATGTTTTAGACTCACCGTAATCGATAAATGAGTGTGTGTGGGCTTAATGCGCTCCTGTGTAACACTGATTCTGTCGTAGCCCACAGCAAAGCATGTTTTACATGCCAGTCTGCCGATTCCTTTATGAGTGTAAATCGTTATAAAATCAGTGGATTAATGGAGTCTGAAAGAAAGGGGAACATTTGTAGTTAGAGAAATGGAGGGTAGTGTATTGCTCAGAGACTGCTCTTTCAGAGCTCAGGAGGTATAATGGACTTCTCAGTTATGTTTCATTTAGGTGTCAACTTTATCTCAGATGTCTCTCCTAAGATTGTTTAGGAGAAGAGACGTAGATCATGCCTCTTTGTTGCATGCATTTGCATCTTTAACAGATCAGAGTGTGTTTGAAAAATTGTTTAGATCTTACTGAAGTTCTACATTTGCTCTCCATTTACTTTAATTGCTGTTTAATTTGTAATGTTTTCTTTCCTACAAGAACATAGATACATAATGGCATTCTTAAATGCACTTCATTTAAGCATCAACTTTGTCTCAAACCAAAATACTAGACAGAACTCATTTACTCTACTATTTGTTGTTGAAAACAGGTGCACTGTTCAATATTTGTGTGAAAGCAGTGATACTTTATTTTTTTTTCAAGATTCAAGATTCGATAAGAAGAACGTGAAATAGAAATCTTTTGTAACATTAGAAATGTCTTTATCGTCACCTTTTATCAATTGAATGCATCCTTGCTGAATAAAAGTATTAATTTCTTTCAAAAAAGTTCCCAAACTTGTGTAAGGGAAACAGGTTAATTTAGCTCAAAGGGAATCATTTAAGATTTTATAGGGAATTTGGACAGAATCACTGTTTTACGGCTGATCACTGAGTCAGCCAGCGATTCATTGAACGAGCCGTTTAACATCAACTCAGCAATGGATATTAAAATCCAAAGTATAGTGAAAACACTATTTATTAGTACAGTAACAAGATCGGCAGTTTAAGACATTAACTTGTAAGCACAAAACTTTTGACCCCTGCTTCTCACAGAACACACCCTCACGTTCACAGAATGGCAGAGAGACTGAGACATTGTATATATATATATATATATATATACACATATATATATATTCATGTACAGGCAGTATCTCTGCCATTCTGTGAACGTGATGGTGTGTTCCATGAGAAGCAGGGGTCAAAAGGGGACTAGAGGGAATTTCAGTCTGGTTCTTGTCTCCTAGGCGGGGGGGAAGTCAATCTGAAGAAAGTCTTTAGCTCTGTGATTACTATCATGGATTTACATGAGATGGTCATGCTGTGCATCTCTTTGACCGTCAATCTTGGTTACTTGCCCCAAAATTGACAATCTCCTTCCCGAGTTGAAATGATCAATGTGTTCTTTTGTGTTAATGTTGAAAGCTGTTTGAAACTGCTAGTTTGTTAGGCTCACTTCAGACTTGTGGCGCCAGGATCTGATTTATGAACATCCTGTTGTCTTGGGCCTCTTTGTGGAATTCGGCTCTTTGGGTTGTTCAACACCAATCTGACCAAATCTTAAATTGTCTGATTCATTCTGATGCCCTACACTTGCCAATATACTGTTATTGTACCATCTTGTTTTTTATTTTAAACCGTAGTCCCTTCTGTCTATCTGTACTTTCAAGCTTGAAGCCTTTTTAAACTTTTATTTTCTTTAGCTTTAAGACCAGTTGTCAAGTCAACATCCAAGTTCATTTTGATTTCCTTTTCTAGTTTATAATGGCTTCTGCTCACCACTTGTTTGATTCTGTGTTTTGTGACAGAGAGGGAAAGATGGTCGTACTGTCCCTCGCGATCGGATTGGTCGAACAAGATGACTTCGCCAACCTTCCAGATCTACAGGAGGCACCAGCTGACAAGGAAACACCTCCCACCGACAAAAGGTAATGGCTGGTTTAAAACAGACAGTTTAATTTCCATATATGCTCAAAATAAGCAGATATATAGCAGCTTAGGTTTCCTTGATTATCCATGCATAATGTTTTGATAAATCATGTTAAAATGTGAGTATCGTATATGATCATCAGGTTTTTGAGGAGCGTTTATTTGTTCCTTTCATTATGGTATTTCATTGCATTATAGGTTTTTAACTACAAAGCTTTGATCATAAAACTAAACACTTAAATATCATCTTAATAGGACATATTATTGGGAGAAATAGAGTGACAACTGATATTTATAAGCATTTTATGTAAGTAGTCTGCTACTGTTATAAACATCTCATTGATTTACATTACCAGTTATCAGAATTTCATCTTACTTTTTGGCCATATAAATATCACTAACTGCACCAGATTGCTTTTTTTTTGCTCAGTTTGAGCCTCTGAACTGAATTAAACTTGAAGGAAACTTTTTTTCCTCAAGTATTAGCTTCATATTCTCACTATATCACACTATATGAGCCATAAAAGCCTGATTTATTAAATATGTAAAAGTTCCTTTACATTCCTTTACAAGGAACCTTTACATCTATCTATCTATCTATCTATCTATCTATCTATCTATCTATCTATCTATCTATCTATCTATCTATCTATCTATCTATCTATCTCTCTATCTATCTATCTATCTATCTATCTATCTATCTATATATATATATATATATATATATATATATATATATATATATTTCATTGCATTATAGGTTTTTAACTACAAAGCTTTGATCATAAAACTAAACACTTAAATATCATCTTAATAGGACATATTATTGGGAGAAATAGAGTGACAACTGATATTTATAAGCATTTTATGTAAGTAGTCTGCCACTGTTATAAACATCTCATTGATTTACCTTACCAGTTATCAGAATTTCATCTTACTTTTTGGCCGTATAAATATCACTAACTGCACCAGATTGCTTTTTTTTTTTTTTTTTTTTTTTTTTGGGCCCTCAATTTAATTTCTTTTTGGCCATATAAATATCACTAACTGCACCAGATTGCTTTTTTTTTGCTCAGTTTGAGCCTCTGAATTGAATTAAACTTGAAGGAAACTTTTTTTCTTCCTCAAGTATTAGCTTCATAGTCTCACAATATCACACTATATGAGCCATAAAAGCCTGATTTATTAAATATGTAAAAGTTCCTTTACATTCCTTTACAAGGAACCTTTACATCTATCTATCTATCTATCTATCTATCTATCTATCTATCTATCTATCTATCTATCTATCTATCTATCTATCTATCTATCTATATATATATTAGGGCTGCCCCCGACTAAAAATGTTTCTAGTAGTCGTTCATTTTAAGCATTAGTCGACTAATCGCAAATTTATTAATAAGCAATTTAAATCATTATAATGAGCCTTTAACTGCCTACATAGCCTAATAAGCGCTCAAGCACACGCATAAAGTTTGCCACAGCGCACCACAAAAGCTAATGATTATGAATGTGTCAGGGAAAAACAGTTAAGGAGGCTGCATTAATATTTGAATAATTTATTGATAAACTACTGCTTTTTTTTGTTTTCGGATTAAGAGATGAAGTCGACGTAACTCGTCATCTCCGCTGTAGTGATGCGCCTGTATACAAGTTTCATACGGATTACATAATCCGAGGATATTTGTTTTCCGTTTGATTTGGTTCATTTGAATGTAGACATTTCACTCTCTATGGATATATTTTTTCTATGTCTGTAAGGCAGGCATAAACGCTCAAGTTCACGGAGACCGCGACGGCAGAAAGCACATCCTGTTTGCTTTCATTATTTTACAAAAGTGCAATGTTTTATTGTTATTGTGAGTGCACATAAATAAACTTAGAGTCTTTACAGACTCAAAAGATGTATTACTCTTGTCTGTATCACTAGAAATTACGGAGTATTTAAAGAGCAAGTGACCGCACTGGCACCTCCATCTGTCCTACGGTGAGCGCGCTTCTACACTCCACACAGACACTTCAATAGCACACATTTTTCTAGGTTAGCCTAACATTAGATTGAGTGGTCATGTAAAGTTGCTAATACTTACATATTTCAGATGATAAGCCATATTTGTGGTGGATGAATGATGGGTGAGGATTTGGATGTCCTGGCCGATGTAGGCTACTGTATTTCCATAGACTAGTCGTTAACGATTTGTCTGTCACGAACTGCGTGACTTTGCCTGTGGATTTATTTTTTTCTGCGACTAAGTGACTAAAAAAATTTTGCTCGACCAAGCCTCTTCTGGTCGACTAACGGTTAGTCGACTATTAGGGGGCAGCCCTAATATATATATATATATTAGGGATGCACCGTTACCGATACTGGTATCGGTATCGGGCCCGATACTGAGCTCCTGTACTCGTACTCGTACTCGTACTCATTAAAATGCCCCGATACCAAACGCTGATACCACACAGCATGTGATAAGTGCCATATTCAGACAAAGAAACACTGGCAACAGAACAACAAACAGCACAAAAGCGCAATGTTTTATTGTTATTGTGAGTGCACATAAATAAACTTAGAGTCTTTACAGATTCAAAAGATGTATTACTCTTGTCTGTATCACTAGAAATTACGGAGTATTTAAAGAGCAAGTAACCGCACTGGCGCCTCCATCTGTCCTACGGTGAGCGCGCTTCTACACTCCACACAGACACTTCAATAGCACACATTTTTCTAGGTTAGCCTAACATTAGATTGAGTGGTCATGTAAAGTTGCTAATACTTACATATTTCAGATGATAAGCCATATTTGTGGTGGATGAATGATGGGTGAGGATTTGGATGTCCTGGCCGATGTAGGCTACTGTATTTCCATAGACTAGTCGTTAACGATTTGTCTGTCACGAACTGCGTGACTTTGCCTGTGGATTTATTTTTTTTCTGCGACTAAGTGACTAAAAAAATTTTGCTCGACCAAGCCTCTTCTGGTCGACTAATGGTTAGTCGACTATTAGGGGGCAGCCCTAATATATATATATATATTAGGGATGCACCGTTACCGATACTGGTATCGGTATCGGGCCCGATACTGAGCTCCTGTACTCGTACTCGTACTCGTACTCATTAAAATGCCCCGATACCAAACGCCGATACCACACAGCATGTGATAAGTGCCATATTCAGACAAAGAAACACTGGCAACAGAACAACAAACAGCAGAATGGAGTTATTAGAGATTAAGTATGTATACAAAGAGAATATACCTCTCTCACATACATCACTGGAAAGTTTGTAGTTCGGTCGGATACGTCAAAAACAAGTAAGTAAAACAATGCACAAGTTACTTAACGGTAGGGAGAGAGAGAGAGCGCGCACACTTCTGTTGTGTGATCTCTGATGTTCACTCACTTAGCACACACATCATTTGGATTAAAACTAAATCATAAAAATAAGACCATTTATAGGGGCATTCAATATAAACATTTATTTTCAATCTTAGGCATACACGACTTTCAGGCGAAAGTGAAACTAACAGCCTGTGTGAAATGCGCTAGGCTGTACTGTACTTGTTCCTCTCATTCTGCACCAGTACAAATACGTGCACGCGTTGCACGTGTTTTGCTTGCTTGAGTGTTTCTGCATTATATGAATGGCTTTGGAATATAAATCACAGCACGTTTCAGATGAAAAAAACACGACTTCTATTACTGAAAATATCACAGTTAGGAGATTTATAATACAGTTCCCTGCATTATTATAAATAATACCCAAAAATTGTTCATACGGTGGACTACCAGTAAAACTGATAAAAACATTTTGGGACCAAAAATTATTCAGACCGAGTCTGGGAAAAAACATTGAAGTTGAGGTTTGCATGAAGCTGGGTGACAGCATGCCCAGGAGACTACAGGCTGTCATTGAGGCTAAGGGTTGCCCGACTAAGTATTCATAGTTGTGTAAATACTGTCATACTAACAGCTGTCTGAAAAATTTTTGGTTGATTGTAATCCATTACACACCTTTCTATCAGAGTTATGTAACATTATCAAGATGAATTTGTTCTGACTCAGTTTAACTCTGAGGTCTTGTCATATTTTATTACCATTTTCTAAACTATAGCGAATAAACTGTGATAATGTGAGAAATGTTGAAATTCAGACCGAGTCTGGGAAAAAAACTGAAGTTGAGGTTTGCATGAAGCTGGGTGACAGCATGCCCAGGAGACTACAGGCTGTCATTGAGGCTAAGGGTTGCCTGACTAATTATTGATAGTTGTGTAAATACTGTCATACTAACAGCTGTCTGAAAAATTTTTGGTTGATTGTAATCCATTACACACCTTTCTATCAGAGTTATCTAACATTATCAAGCTGAATTTGTTCTGACTCAGTTTAACTCTGAGGTCTTGTCATATTTTATTACCATTTTCTAAACTATAGCGAATAAACTGTGATAATGTGAGAAATGTTGAAGGTGTCTGAATAAATTTTGGCTTGACTGTATCTATTTGATAAATGAAGTTAACCAACTAACATTATACATACTCTTTTGGTTTCTGTACCCAATATTTAAAAAATTTACAAATGCAATAAAAATATTGGTATCGGTACTCTGTATCGGCAAACACCAAAAATAAAAGTCGGTATCGGGCGAGTACTGGAAAAAGTGGTATCGGTGCATCCCTAATATATATATATATATATATATATGCATTGACAAGTATTTCATTATATTATTATGGATGTTTTACAATTGACTATTATTTTTTGGAGGTCTTTTAAGAGTGTGAAATGAACTTATATTTGTGTCTGTCTGCTGCTGTCTTTGACGTCACATCTCAGCTTTTGGTTTTAAGTCCACAGGAAGTGTGAGGTGACCAATCAACAGTTAGTCATTGGCAAGTCCTGAAGTACGATGTCTGATTTTTGCTAATGAAGTACTCCATCCACACAAGCTTATCACAAAATCAATGGTCGTCCTTGTGTATTCTACCTGGTTATCAATCAC